TTTTTAATCGCGTCTCTTTCATTAATAACAACACAAACAAGCCGAGGCCGGGGACCTCACAACTCAACCCGGAGTTATCCCGGCAGCAATAGCCGGTTTAACTTATAAATATACCGTCTCCAATGCAGATCTGGGAAACCTCTTCACTCCTAGAGAAGCTAGTGGTTACCCACCTCCTGCTTGGTTGTTGCATGAGCAACTGATGGGGAACGACATCTGCTGGAAACCGGGTTCAGTGCCCCTTGTACAACAATACTGATTAATGATGAGGCGATCTGGAAAACCTCTTCCCTCCTAGAGAAGCTAGTGGTCATCCACCTCCTGCTTGATTGTTGCATGAGGGACTGATGGGGAACGACACCTGCTGGAAACCAGGTCCAGCGTCCCTTGTACAACATTACTGATCAGTGATGAGGCTATAATCATTACTCTATTCTACTCTGAAGCACCCATTATGCGGCTATCGTCAGTGTTCTGTTCTATTCTGTTGTACTGTGGAGCACCCAGTGTCCCCTGGGTTCAGTGTCCCTTTCTCCTCTCAAGCTACATGCTATTTCTGGACAAATACAAAACTGGATTAACAAAAGACAAATAGGAATAAAGGAAAGACCCTGCCCCTATTGTATTTTCTTTCTGGTTTGGCTGTTTTGTGTGCTCGTTTGTCGTCTTCTATCCCACCTCCTCCGTGTCCTTCAGCCTGTGTCCTTTGATATGGTCTGTTGTCCTATGTCATGTTGGTTGTTTTGTGCTATGTTTTTTATTTTGGTTCACTGTTTGATGTTATTTATGTGCCCACCCACCTCCCCGTTCCCTCCAGCCTATGGTATGTGTGTCGTTGTTGTTTGTTTTTCGACACCTTGTGACTTTTAGCCTAAGTCTTTTCATCGAGTCTATGGATTTTAGAAAATGATTACAAGGGAACTGATGAGAAAGACATGTGTATTGTTTTGTGTTCTTGGGCTGCGTCCCCGATGAGTCAATGGCGTGGAGTACGCGTCACGTGTGTTGGAGCGTCACTCGCTGTGCTTTTGGACACACTCTTACACATACACACACACACACACACACACAGAAAGATAGAGAGAAAGAGAGAGAGAAAGAAAGAGAGAAAGAGAGAGAGAGAGAGAGAGAGAGAGAGAGAGAGAGAGAGAGAGAATGAAACCACACTGAAAAAATGTATGTGGTCTGCATACCATCCTTACTATAATCCCCGTCCCAAATGTTGAAAAGACACAAGTTGAAAAACTCACGTCGGGATATAATCGTCGTCCCAAAAAAACGACTAAGTAAAGTCCCGAAATCCCGAAGTGTGTTTTCGGTACCGAAATCCCGAATGCACGTCGGGATATAATCCCCCGCCCCAAAAATACGACTAAGTAAAATCCCGAAATCCCGAAGTGCATTTCGGTACCGAAATCCCGAATGCACGTCGGGATATAATCCCCCCAACAAAAACACCGACTAAGTAAAATCCCGAAGTGCGTTTTCGGTACCGAAATGCCGAACGCACGTCGGGATATAATCACCTTCCCCAAAAAAACGACTAAGGAAAATCCCGAAATCCCGAAGTGCGTTTTCGGTACCGAAATCCCAAACGCACATCGGAATATAATCCCCCCCCCCAAAAAAAACGACTAAGTAAAATCCCGAAATCCCGAAGTGCGTTTTCGGTGCCGAAATCCTGAACGCACGTCGGGATATAATCACCGCCTAAAAAAAATGACTAAGTAAAATCCCGAAGTCCCGAAGTGCGTTTTTGATACCGGAATCCGGAACGCACGTCGGGATATAATCCCCTCCCCCCCAAAAAAAACGATTAAGTAAAATCCCGAAATCCCGAAGTGCATTTTCGGTGTCGAAATCCCGAACGCACGTCGGGATATAATACCCCCTCCCAAAAAAAAAACGACCAAGTAAAATCCTGAAATCCCGAAGTGTGTTTCGGTACCGAAATCCCGAACGCACGTCAGGATATAACCCCCCTCCCCCCCCCCAAAAAAAAACCACTATGTAAAATCCCAAAATCCCGAAGTGCGTTTTCGGTACCGAAATCCCGAACGCACCTCGGGATATAATCCCCCCCGCCCCAAGAAAAACGACTAAGTAAAATCCCGAAATCCCGAAGTGTGTTTTCGGTACCGAAATCCCGAACTCACGTCTGGATATAACCCCCCCCCCCCCAAAAAAAAAACGAGTATGTAAAATCCCGAAA